TACTGCCAACTCTTAAGTGTGACATTATTATAAGCATTACATTTGCTTTCAAAAGAGAAATAAAAACATATGACTCTACTGAAAATAATTATCAGTGGTATTTTAAGTATAATTCAAAAATTTTACTGTACCTGCTTTAAAAATATTCATAGGTAAATAACATTCATAAAATGGAGCTATTATAAGCATTGGATCTATTTTTTGGGTAAAAGGAAACATATTTAGTAATAGAGGAAAAAATTCAGGATTAAATGAGTATGTATTTTTACAGGTAATTTTTCTGCCTTGACCATGAAATTCTTAGTCAAAAGGTAAAAAGTATATTGTAATGAGAAAAAAAAACCTTCATAATTTAGAAATATGGAAAAAAAGACTTCACTAAATTGAATGGATAGTCTGGACATCTATTAATAATTTGTGGTCAGTACACATACTGAAATTTTCAAACAATATCAACATTTCAAATTACAATAATAGGATTATTGATCACAGAACTTCAGGTGTGTCAAAGGTACTTTAACAACCTTTGGTATTTCTATCTGAATTTCCTGCCATCACCTCAATTGCTGTCATTTCAATTAAACAGGTCATAAAACAACTTCATCATTCTTGCTCTTAATTAATTTCCTCCTTTTGCTCCCCTCTTGTCCCAGTTACTTCTCATTGGAGCTTATCATTGTCTCCTCCCTTCCCTCAGCCTCCATGTCCTGTCTATTTATCATCAAAGCGTGTAGGTTCTTCCCAAGTCATACCTGTTACAGCTCTCCTATCCTCTCCAGTCCCATTGCCGCCACTCCCGTTCATGCCATCAACCACATATACTGGCTTTACTGTCACAGCCTGCTGAGTCTACTGCCTCCAGATGCTTGCTCCTCTCTTTTATTCATTTACTAAACTAATCTTCTTTAAAATTCCATTTTGATCACGTCATAGTAATGCTGATCACATCATAAAACTGTTCATTATTTTTTAAGGACTCTGAGGGAAATCAATGATTTTGATTAAAAACTGTTCAGTTTTATAAGTCGGTATGGAAAATGCTGGGCTTACTGGCTCTCTTCTCTCATTTGGTGCAACCTAGTGTTGATGCCAGCTTCAAAAGGAGGAAGCTACTTCCTCCTAGCAGAGGGCCAGGAAACAGTTCTTTTTTAAAACATCTTTTTCGGGGAAAAAATGATAGTCATTATAAGCTCTTGTTCATTGCTGTGTTCCAGCTTCCAGAGCACTACCTGGAACATAAGTGCTGAGTAAATATTTGAGAAATAAATGGATACAGGTTTCCCCTACTATCTGAAAGTACAGCATTCCTATGAAACTTTACGTAAGCCAAAATGGTGTAAAGCAAAGAAGCAATTACTTTAGGACACATTTTGCTAATGGATGCCCCAAATAAATTGAGTTAAGGCACAGATGCTCACAGGCACAGCTGAAAGCTGTGCCTGCTTGATGCTGAGATGTGGAGTGGAGTTCCTGGGGGAGGAGCTTGGTGATGCCAGTCTCGCTACTCCGGGTACTTGCTGCCTCTATAACCGCCCCCTGCAAGCAAATGCTGAATGCATTTTTGCTTTCACTTTTCTTCATAAGAGCAAAAAGCCTCTTCAAATTTCTTCCAGTTAGGGAAAACAGGAAAACCAACGGAGATCTTTCATAAAATTCAAGTGGCATAAAGTGAACTTTCAACAAGTGGGGAATAACTGTATATATTGGGGAATGTATAAGAAATCTCCTCCTGACTTAAGCCAAATTTGTTGGAATAAAAACCCACAGGGAATAGAAGGTTACAGAAAGTAGCAAGTTCTGTCTTAAAGATTTGGTCAGAGAAGAGTCGAATAGTGAGGCGACTTAGTGTAAGATCAAATGAGTGTGATAAAGAAGAAACTTAATAGCTTATCTCTGATAAACTGTACAGCAAAGTCTAATGAAGTATTGGAGAAGCAGGGTAAGAATGAATTGTCTTCAAAGAACTTTTTAGTGCCTTTTTGAAAGAGTTGCTAGTAAAACCCAAGATAACAGACAAAAGATGAATCTTACAAAAGCTTAAGTCTCAAAAAAAGTTGTTTTCTACTTAGGCTTGAGTGACCGCCAGAGTTGAAGTTTAAACTTGTATTAATTATCTACTGCTGTCAACAAATCACACCCAAGATTGGCAGCTTAAAACAATACACCTTTATCAGTCACAGTTTCTGTGGGTTGGGGATCTGAGTGTGGTGTGGCTAGGGAACTGGCTCAGGGTCTCTCACAAAAACACCGTCAAGGTGTTGGTTGAGGTTGCAGTCCTCTCAAGGTTCAAATGGGAGGTGATGCCCTTCCAAGGTGGCTGTTGGCAGACTTTAGGTCCTCACTGGCTCGTGGCTGGAAACACCAATTCCTTGTCACGTGGGCCTTTCCAGGGAGCAGCTCCCACCATGGCAGCTGGCTTCCATCAGAGGGAGCAAGCACGAGGACAGCAAAGAGCCTGAGGTCTGCCAACATTCACTGGTCTCACCATGTTCCTCACCATCCTTAAGCAGCAGGCTTGATAGAAAGGTGGAATGACTTTTTGAACACTCAGTGATGGTACCTGGTTAGTGACAACATCTTATAGAGATGAGACAATGTCCTCCAAGATGTGTTATTTGCTCTAAATCAGACTTTAATACATGTGCTTTCTCCCAGATCTCCAGGAATGAGAGGCAGAGATGGGACTGGCTTCTCTTCTTACTCCCATTAGTGATCTACTAGCAAAATGGCTGCTTCCTATTCCCGTGACTTTAGGCTCTGTTGGTGTAAAGGTCTTAGTTCCAGAGGAAGAAGTGCTTCGATGAGGGATCACAACAGTGATTCCGTCGAACTGGAAGTTGAGACTGCCATCTTGCCGTATTGGGCTCCTTACACCACTGAATTAATAAGCAACAGCAAGTGCTGCTGTATTGGCTGGGGTGACTGATCCTGATCACTAAGGGAAAACTGAGTTGCTACTACACAGTGGGGTAAAGAAGAGTATGTCTGCAATGCAGGAACCCCTCTAGGACACCCGTCAATTATCTCCTGTGATTAACGTCAACAGAAAACTACAACAATGTAACTCAGGAAGGATTGCTAATGGCCGAGGCACTTCAGGAATGAAGACACGGGTCATCTCATAAGGCAAGGAACCATGATCAGTTGAGACACTTGCTGAGAGCAAACAGAATATGGATTGAAGGTAGTTACACTTACCACATAAAACTACATGACCAGTTGCAAAAATAATAGTTATGAGTATTTCTTCCTTATTTTGATATGAGTATGTATGCAATAAATATTTTTGTTTTCATCTCCCTTATTACCTTATTGTCACATGTAAGATGTGTCAATAGTAATTAGCTTTATCTCTCAGTATTTAAATTATAAGATACCCAAGATGAGAAGAATAAACATCAATCAAGGACAAAACAGGGGCTTTGTATCCTCTTCTAGTGTGTTTTCAGTTGTACATGGGATAGCTGTATCTTGTTAGGTGGAAGCATAACTTCATTAATGCCTTTATTTGGTGATTAAGTCCGGTTTAAGGGGATGTAGATGAGTGCCGACTTGACAAGGAGTGGACCGTGAAGGCTCTGTAATGTGTCACTTTGGCTAGGTTGAACTACATTTCAACCTAGCAAAATTTCTTTTCAAACTGTGTGTTTTGGGTTAGGATGTTTCACAATGGAGATTTCTTTGAGAAATTTGGAGGGTTAAAATGAAGCAGCAGCCATTTTGAGCTCCACATGTTGTTTATCTGCTGGTTCATTTGATGGCCTGAGGCAGGGGCCAGGATTGTATCCATCCTACCCTGGATTCTCCTCCAGCGGTGATGACTCCTGGCCAGTTGTGCACCTGGTTAGCTCCATGACGAAGGGCTCTGGCTTCGACAGGGCACCCACACCACCAAGGGCAGAGGCCACAAGAACTGAAATGGGTTTAAGTCCATCCTCGTGGAATTACCCCTTTACTTAACATCTTCACTTAACTGCCTGCTCTGTAAACTCAAGCTCCAGCATTGCATGCAAAATCAATATTCTTACAGAGAGAGCCAGCTCTGGTCAAATCCCAGGTCAAATCTCTGTAACAAATTCTTTACTATGTATAGTCCACCCTCATTATTTGTGGGGTCCATATTTGTGAATTTACCTACTTACTAAAATTTATTTGTAAGCCCCCAAGTCAATACTCGTGGCACTTTTGTGGTCATTTGTGGATATGTGCATGTGTAGAGTGGTGAAAAGTTTCAGTTGCTCAACATGCACATTCCTAACTAAGAACAAGGCCATGCTTTGCCTTCTTGTTTCAGTCCTTGTACTGTAAATAAGTGTCCTTTTTGCAGACTACTTACTGCCATGTTTTTCACATTTTCATGCTTTTGTTGGTGATTTTACTCTTTGAAATGGTGCCCAACTACAGTACTGAAGTGTTATTTAGTGTCCCTAAGCTCAAGAAGACTGTGATGTGTTTTATGGAGAAAATCAGTGTGTTAGAAAAACTTCATTCAGGCATGAGTTCCAGTGCTGTTAGCTGTGAGTTCAACATTAGTGAATCAGGAATCTATATTAAATAAGGTGCCTTTAAACAGAAATATTCATAAAACAAAGTTATATATTGACTGGTTGATGAAAATGTTGTGACCAGAAGCTTGCAGTTTGGAACCTAACCCTGTATTTTCCCTAGGAGCAATGATTCAGTATTCACTAATTCAGTGTTATCAGAGAGTTTACGGAACATAACCACTGATGATACAGGAAATATACTGTACTTAATGTACACACACACACACACACACACTCACACATACACACACATTGTAGCATATATATTTCCTAGCAGTCTGTTTCTCTAACTGAACCCTGATTGACAGACCAGAAAAGTATAGTTATAATAATGGTGAAGCACAGTTCCCATGAAATTTAGTTAATGACACTTCTTTATCTCGTAGTTGAACTGTTCTCCAAATCATTCCCTTCAAGTATACAGACACATCTGCACCATTAAGTACTTAGTGATTAGCTATCCCCCATGGTTGTTATATGGAGTAGTTCATGTTCAAAACTTCTGCTCATTCTCTGGCATCTATGACCAAAGCAAGCCCATTTCTATTCTGTACCATAACCAGACACCACTGCCTACTTTGTGTTTACCATCAAAATTGGTTGGCAATTGTGGAAGCCACAATCAGAAAGCAATGAAAAATGTCACTCTCTCTTCTTCCCTAGAGATTAGAGACTAACATATAGATCCTGTAGGCCGGAATCAATGTCAGTCTTAAACGGTCTGGAGCCCACCTGCTTCCTGAGGTGCTTACCCCATTTTACCTCTTTTCTTTCAAAACACAGGCCAGTCTTAACCTTAGTTCCCTGTGAACATCCTCAGGTCCATTCCAGCCCTTACTCCTTACCTTGCTCTGCTTCTTTTGGCTAGAATACCATCCTGCATGTCTTTCTACAATCCAAATCCTATTTAACACACAAGGTCCGGCCAAAATTTTCTACATGAGAAACTTCTAGACTCCAGGTCACAACATTCTCTCTTCTCTGAACTCTTGACCACCTATTGTATCAATGAATTGGTAATCAATCAGAGACAAATACTCTGAGGTCCTGTACAGCTATCCAGTCCCTGTCTTAATCAACCTTTAATTCATGTACATCCTGTCTCCTTAAGCTTCAACAGCAAATGTCAATATTACTCTCAAGTTGTTTCACTTACTCGTCTTTACTGAGTTTGTTGGTAAGCATCTTCAGTTACTTAATGCATTTCTGGTCATGGATCAGACCCACGCTATAGGTTACCAATAATTCATTCAAAATTCAAGGCAGAACAAGATGCTTAATTTGCAAAACAGAATTCCACATTTCATTAGCATATTTTTGCACCTTAAAAAAACCACCCCATACATCTCCCATGAAACACATACCTGCTGAAACTCGGGGACAGTCAGGCAGCATGGACTCCACTGATGTGTCTAATGGTTCTGAGCTGGAGACCCAGTTACAACAGTTCTGCAATGTAATAGAGACAATGTTGTGCTGAAACATAATTTAAGGCAAGACCAATTTACTAGGCTGCAGAGATTAATTTATCCAATATAACCAACCACTATAAGTATACTCTATTTTCCATACACTGTAAAAAGTTCTCTTATGTACATAGTCAGTAATCATTCATGACCAACATGACTGTAGAAAAAAGTTTATCTTCTACAATCCAGCAAATTATCTGTGCTGATATTAAGAAGACATGTAACCTCTGTGAATGATGATGCAATATGCTTATAAGAGACAGCTAGGATTTTTAATTAAGGGAAATTGAAAAGGGTGTCCATTTTTAACTTTTAGATGGAAATAACTATTAATTTGAATATGTGAAAGAATATTTACATTTTAAAACAAGTCACCCGGCTAGCTCAGTCGGTAGAGCATGAGACTATTAAAACAATATTCTTTGTCTTTGTAATAGTAGAAATACATTTCATAATTGCTTCTCAAAATTTGGCCAGTATAAACATGCTACTTTAAAAGTTTTTCTTCAACCTATTTCAATGAAGGCTGTATCAAACAATTCAAGAGAAACACAACCTGGTGAATTGTAGCTGTGTGTCTGAGGACACAAAGCTTTCAAGATTAAAGCTTAACCTCTAAGATAATGATGATTTACAACTCAGACAAATGAAATAAAAATAATCTGTATTTCTTCCATACATTGTAAGTCTGTATTTGAAGTCTGGGTTAAAAAATGTGATTAACCTCATATGGCTTTAAAAAAATTTCCAACACACACACACACACACACACACACACACTGAATTTCCAGACAGATTTTATTTTGAAAGAAATCATCCTATCAATCACGTTGGAAAAATCGCTGATTGCTATTCTGGTAAACAAGCATGTATTGTGTATTTTTAGATGCTTGCTGTCCTGGTTGTGCACCATGGAATCCGTCCTCACTGTGGAAAGATCCTTGACTGGTAGATCAAGTGTCTTATTGTATTTCCTTAATTCATTCTGTCTGGAAGAAGATGTCAGCTGTGTTGCAGTGAGGAGAGAATTTCAAAGGCCCCAGTCCCCACCAATAAAGGCCGAGGAATGGCTTTTGAATAGATTTGTCAAGGCAACCCTACTGTTCTGGGACCAGGGAGAGCAAGAATAACATAAAGGAAGGGTTGCTGTATGAGATTAGAAAGTGAAGTTCACAAAGCATGGCAGATTTTTGTAAGAAACAGTAGATCAATGAAACTATTGAACTGTGTGGAAAAAAAAAACATGAAAACAAACACAACATCTAGTAATGTTCTTAAATGCTTTCTCTCTTTTTACATTAAAAATGGATAAAATATTACTATTTTCATGTATTACAAAAGCTTGATGGTTTAAAGTGGATATGTATTCTATAACTTGCACTCCTAATCTTAATTAGCAGCTGAATGCAAAATTATACAATGTAAGAGGGAAGGAATTATAAAAGAAATGGGGTTTTAGAAGATATTTCATACATCTGAAATAAGTAAAATTAATATTACTATTGATAGAATACCACATCAGAGAGTTCTAGATAATGCAGAAGATTAGCACACAATTAGCCAGCTTTTATATACAATGTGACACTTGCTTGTAAGAAATAAGTATTCTCCAAAGCAGTGTCAAGATATGTAAATGGATGATTTGTTTTATCATTCATCACAGCCCCTAATAAATTCAAAAATCATGACTTCTATAGGTACTAAAAATAGGCTCCCAATGATACAGGCAGATAGCGTCAATGAAGAATGACTTTCTCTTTCTCTCTCTTTTTCTTAAACAATTCAGTCTTTTCAATGACAGCAATTAGCACTACCGACAGACAGGCAGCGATTAGGTATATATTTTAATTATTATTCATCCTAGTAGTACGTCCAAATCTGATGAAAGTCGGCTATTACCCAGGTGATATGTCAGTCTTAATACTGTTCACTTATACTTCACGTATGTAAAACTGTGTCTTATAGGATATTTCCAGTATTAATAACAGAGATGGTACTTTACACTATGCAGGTGATTAATCATTTTCTAACTCGTTATAATTGAATTTAAAAAGCTCAACAAAATGGGTTTTATCCAGGTCACTTTTAACTCCAACATAGCAAAATATAGGTTAACATTTTGGAGTCCTGAAATTTCAGTTTTTATCTAGGCACACGTTTAGGCTTTGATCTCTCATGAAAACAGGGTAGAAATTAAACACCTTATAGATAAAGTACATATGTCCAAAGTTCTCTGGAATGACAAAGTACTGGTGTAGGATTGTAAAGGTTTGATACCATAAGTTGATGTATACATGTGGTGTGTGCATGTTTGTGTGACATTTTTACCACTCTAGGAAAAATACAGAAAGAACAGGGCAAAACAAGCTAAAAATATGTTTTCCATATGATAGAGTATAATGAAATAAAATAATGTAAACAAACTGGGAAATATGTGTAAAGAAGGAAATATGAGAAAGACATACAGCCATTACATATGAATTCAATCTATCTGAAATTCCATGTTATCAAACGTTAACTCCCTATTCTGAGATGCGTTTTTATAGTTTAGAAATCAAATCTCTTTCCATTGTTTTTTTCCAATGCTTGTTTTACCCCTTTTCTCAGTGCCCCAATTTGCACCCTATACCAGTTCTTCAGCTGAGATGAACACTAGCAAAGAGTCTTGGAAGATGACAGAAGCAGCCCACTAGGAAAGCCCTATCTAAACTCAAATCATGCTGCACTGGGTTCCCAGACCCCGGGGACCTTATTCTCAGCTTCCCTGAGCAGACAGCAAGGCATGATGGAGTAGAGGTACCAACAGAACCATGCCTGAGCCTCAGATGCAGCCCTGTCTCAATCTAATCAACAAGCAGAGAGAAAGATGCCCCCTTGGCCAGAGCAAGCAGATGGGAATGGATCATGTAACTAGAGCATCTCTGGGTCTGAGGGAAAAAGAGAGAAACAGGCAATATAGTGAGTTTCTTAAAGGTAATTGTTTTCAATTCAAAGATATTTTACCCTGAAATTATGACTTTACAAGTTTTTGTGGTTGTGAATAGTCTTCTTTGTGAAATCCAAAAGCTTGGGAACTACTGATACGGACTAGATGTGCCAATGGGACACAGTGCTGAGTGACTCCCTCTGACAGTTAAACCAAGGGTTGACAATATTTCAGTGTAGGTATTAAATGAACTAAAATTTTTTATAGAAAGGTTGTAACTTAGTATATTATGTTTGAAGAGAAGAGTAGGTAGTAGGTATTCCGGTGCAAGGTACTTGGAAGTATTTGGAGATGCCTGTTGCCCTGGTTGAGTTTAGATTTTTACTCATTTTTATTTCATTTGTGTGAGTTATAAATTATCAGTGTCTTAGAGGTTGATCTCTAATATGGAAGGCACTGTGTCCTCAGACAAGAACAACTACTGCTATTCACCAGGTTGTGTTTCCAGGACTGACGTTCAGAGCTGAATGGTGATGGGTAAGGGTTCATGGCTATTATGCAGAACCACACATTTGGCTTGGCTGGACTTTCAGAGGCCAAGGTATGTCAGGAAGTGACATTTGTCTACTCAATCTTTTTCTTTTTTTTTTAAATAAAAAGTGTATGTTTAAGTTGTACAACATGATGATTTGATATACATATACACAGTGAAATGATTACTACAGTCAAGCTAATTAACATATGTTCTCCTTACACAGTTAGCACTTTGTGTGTGCGTGTGGTGAGAGAACCTGAAATCTACTCTCTTAGCAAATTTCCAGTATTCAGAACAGTTTTATTAAGTACAGTCATCATGCTGTATATTAGGGCTCTAGATTTAACGCATTCTACACAACTGGAATCTCTGGCCAACATCTCACCTTCCTGACACTGGTAACCATGATCCTATTCTCTGCTAGATTCCAGGTATAAGTGGGACCGTGCAGTATTTTTCTTTCTGTGTCTAGTTTATTTCCTTTAGCATAATGTCCTCCAGGTTCATCCTTGCCCACTCAGTGTTTATGGGCCTGGAGCTTGAAGTAAGAAGTTCCTTTCAGGAGCTGCCTTTGGTTACTTTTTCCTCTCCTCATGAGGCTGGCTTAGTATGTATGCTTGGTATTTTGGTTGGGAGTAGATTTTGTTTGGAATCATTGCCAAAAGTAGCCCTCTCTGACCTTTCTTTGAAAGAAATTGTTATTTTAAAATTATACAATTAATACAAGAATGTAGTACTTAACTTTCTTTCTGTGTGCTAATTAGAATTTTTAAAAATCAGCTTTTCATAGTAAATGAATATTTAACATCAGTAACTTTACCATATTAACTTAAACATGCTTACAAAACAAAAAACAGTTTTACTAATTTACAGTATAATGAGAATGACTAGGCAATTGTACCATTGTCCCACTTCCAAATTTTAAAGCAGTACTTGAAATAATGGAGCCAATCATCAAGAGACCAAAAGCACTGAGGCTTCACCTACAACCAGACTGCTGTTTTTATGGACAACACTCCTGTTTAGCTAAGATGTTTTTCTTGGGAGAGGTATTTGCAAAATTGCTGAGTTTTTGAGCTGATTTCAAATGGAGCTGGAGTGGGGGAGATGGCAGGGCAGTGGGATGGTGAGGGTCATAAAGACTTCCCTCCTACACCCTTCTCCCCAACACCTGTGCTCAAGACAACAGCCCTTTCTAATCACTGAACCTAGGCTTGATTGCTCTTCATTATTTCAAGGAATTATGCAGAGTGGAGACAGACTAAAAAGGAGAAAGAAGAGGGGATGGAGTTTCATCCTGAGTGCTGGGAAATGCTGGGCTCTAATCTTGCCAAACCATATTGAATTTTCTGGTAGAGGATCACACATTTAGGTGAGTCCCTACAAGATATGTGACATAGACTTCTACAGTCTCCCTTTTTGTTCCTGTTTTAGGGGAGAGCTCTGAGCAGGGATAATTTCAAAGCTCCATCAACAATGATCTAATAATTTTTTATCTCTGGGATCTTACAGTGTTTTCTATAATAATATGTTTCACTTCTTTACGTAGTACTATTGCTTTTCAAGGGATTTTCTTCTTGGTTATCACCTTTGAGTCTTACAATAGTTGACAAAGTAGATAAAATAGGAATTATTATCTCTAATTCCCAATTATGAAACAAGCCCAGAAAGATGGAGTGGCTTTCCCAAGACAGCAAGTCTTGGCAGAGTACCTGGTAGACCCTGGTAGATCATGTTAGCTCCTTCATTATTGATTTACCTAGTGAGTGACTAAGCCAGAATCATTATCAAAACTCAGTTATCCTAAGTCCTTGTTCTGAATTAATTCCCTTTTGTAAGATATTTTGAATATGCAAATCATTCATAAAACAAAAGTAGAATAGTGTTCATGTATCTTATTTGGGGGTGAAAAGGTAACAACAATAATAGCTATGATTGACTGAACTCCTTTAAAGTACCAACAACTGTGTGATTTCTTTATATAAGTTTTTCCCAACCATGTTTGCAAGGAAGGTATTATATTTTACAGATGAGAAGACTGAATCTCAAAGATATCAAATAACTTGCCCAAGACTATACAGCTAGGTAAGTGACTGAGCTGGGGTGAGTTTTGGTGTGTCATAATACAAAGCTCTTCATGCTGCTTTACACCTAAGGCATAACTGAGGGAATTGAAAGAACTAGGTCATTTATTAAATTTTATAAAATTTTCAGAAATTTCTTAAAAGCTATGCCTACAAAAAAAATTAATGACAGCTTTGATTAAATTAAGATGAATTCAACTACTGCCTATTTCAGTCAGATGAAAAAATGCAAAGATTAATATATTCTGATTTTTGAAGCAGACGCCTAATTCAGTCTTAGTTAGAGATACTTAAAAAAGTAAATCTAAATAAATTTTGTTCTATTTGTCACCTGGAATGAGACATGAAGAACTACCAATTAAAAAATGATGAACAGGGATGTTTCTAGTTTGAGATAAGTACTAAATTCTATATTGGTTATGTGTGGGGGGAAAAGGATACTAACAGCTCATTTATAAACCTTGCTACTTATATAATGCTGGGAGCTGTTATGTATCCATTTGGACAGATAAACCGCAAAAAAAGAGTTTAGGCATGAAATATGCAAAATTACTCTTGAAAAAGTTTAGGCCCTTAGAAATGACTATTAAGGATGTAGATAAATTGTGAAAGGAGAAGTGTGAAAAGCAATGCAGACAGAAAACACCTGGGTGTTAGAACAGATTTTTAAAAATCCCACCTTTATATGTTTATAACATTATGAGGAATAGAGTAAAAGTATTTTGGACTTTTTCATGATGAAAGTACTTTTTCTAATGGAGAAAACAGATTGGTGATATGATAACATCACTATGGGATTATATAGCCTAGTCTTCTATTTATTCAAAATTCTTTTTAGGCATTAATTCTCTGGTCCTCACAGTGCACCAGGGGGACTGGTAGAAGTTACCCACTGTATCTATGGTGAGAGGTCAGCTGAGTAAATACCTGAGTATTCTATTAAAATACTGAAGGGGGTGGGTATAGCACAGTGGTGGAGCACGTGCTTTGCATGCATGAGGTCCTGAGTTCAATTCCTAGTACCTCCATTTAAAAAAAAATGAAAAAAAATTAGGAAGGTCAAACAGCTCATTCATATAAGTATGGATTTGATTAAAAAATTGCTATATCTTGGCATGGCAGATGTCAATTGCTTATGACATCAGAAAGGTAAATATAAATAAAAAAGATATTTCAGATATATATCTGTAATAGGAATCAAAGAAATAATGAGCTGAAAGTTTTTTGAAAAATGGGAGCAGGTTTAACAAGTCCTTGTTAATTCTCAGGCTCACTAGCCCTTAGGAAGAGTGAAAAGCTTTCTTAGCCTGAGGCTGGACTGTGACCAGCTCCTGTGCTTCTCCTCGCTCAAGGGTCTGGCAAAACACTATTTCAGCTTTTTACTTCTCCCCCTACTGGCAGCAGTGAGCCAATCCATTTAAGAGGGGCACATACTGGCCACCTTTCAAGAAAAGGATGAGACCCAGTGTACATTAAGCTTCTTTCTTGTGATTAAGCAGTACCAATGCTAAAGAGCTGGTGGAAAAATCCAGTATCAGGAAATAATAACCTCCTAACTGATCAAGACTTTATTCAGCCAAAGTTCCTTCTGCATGTTGTATGCATACATACATTCCATAGAAAGCCGAACAAGGGGAGGAGGGCTTTCAAAAAAGTCGCTGTTCTTCACAAGGATTTTCTATTATTACTTCAGCCATGTCTAGTTTTCTCTCTTCCCTCTAAATGTTCCACCTCTAGAAAGGGAGTTGGGGAGTGGGAGGTGATATAAACTGGTGAGGGCTCAAGATATAAAGGCCACACTCACTCACTCATCTCAGCACTGAAAAAAAGCCCCGTCTCACCTCTCTCATCCATTCTCGAATCGTTTTGCCAGCTTCTTGATGCCACACATTGTGAACGGAGTCTGTCAACGCCACAGCAGTTACCTTACTTTTCACATCTGCTTCGCGTTGGATCATCTGTTTTGAAAAAGGAAAATAAAATGTTGGCTATAATTTTTTCCCTCCTGGGTGCTTAGTCACAGATAATGATAATATTATATTAAAAGTGAAAAAGTAATATGCATCTCTTTTTCAAAGTTAGTCTTTTCTACACTGAACACATGCCCTGTTCTTGTCCAGAGATGTGAAGAGACCTAACATTTTCTTTTAAAAAGATAATACCACTTAAGTCTTAGAATTACACAGTTCTATCATTTTCCATGTGGTTTGACAATTCAAGGATTAAAGGGATCACAGGGGGAAAAAGGAGGAATCCCTGAGGGCCTCTTTCACAAGTTTCTTCTACCATTTCCTATCTCAATGCTTCAGGGAAGTTAGTACCCAGGGTTCATGGTTAGCTAGTTACGACTAACTTCTACTAGTTTTCAGTAGATGGTATATCAGTAAAGAATGATATCTTGCTTTAACTTCTCCAACTTAACTAGCAAGCTCTTCACCATGGCCTTGTCATTCCTTGGTGTTTTAAATGCCCACAGAGATCTTTCTCTTCAAAGCCAACCAATGTCATTTTGCTTTCTAATATATTTATGATTACACTTTTAATTCTTTCTATAGAATGTTATTTCTATAAAATTAAATGATTCTAAAATTTAAAAAGAGCCACTTGGCTTGAAGAAACTGCAGAATTCATCAGTGGTCTGTAAGACAGAGAAACTGAAAAATAAGAATTCTAGATGAAAGGGTCAGAAAATTGCTAGTGACCCTAATTTGATATGACAAATATAAAAAACTTGATAAAAAATGAGTTAAAATACAATAGGTAGTAGCCTTGAATTTCATAGCCATGTCCTCACTATTTCTTTGCATCAAATGTTTTTCTCCCTCTAAAAATGAGCAATTTGTCATTTGCTATTAATTTCTATGGATTGTCTATCAAAAATATATTACTGCCATTTTTTAAAAAAGGGAGAATTCTGAATGATGATGAAAGCTCATACAGAGAACACTGCAAGCCATGCTTCTGATACTAAATGATTCCTGTTGGCATTCTGAATTAAAAAACTGTGTCTCTTAAATTTCTTTAAACCCTGCCTATGCCCATCCCCTTTCACTGAACACTACCTAATGGAAATCTAATTCACTGTTAATGCTGCCTGAGCAGCATTTCCGCACCTTAAATCTTTGTGCCTTGTGTTTTCTGCTTATATAATGTGGAAATCTTCAAATCAATGTTGGTTAGCCAAATCATAATATTACCGCCAAAATTCACCTTGTGATACCGATATTTTTTAAAGCATAAAATAATACTCTAATTCAATACTTCACCTTCATTATTAAGTAGTTTGCTACCTTCTTCTAGATTTTATCTTAAAAATAGATTCTCACTGGATCACACTGGCACTAGAATGTAAAAATTCAAACTGACACTAAGATAATAAAGTCCCAAATTCCACAACAGTGAACCCACCTGGCTCATGGAGAACTTACATGTCCTTATTCTCCTTTTCTAAACAGTAACACTTTTAGAGATCTAGCTGTTGCTGAAGCTAGAAATAAGAACATGCTCTTCTGGTATTCTAAGAATATGTCTGCATTTAAAAATATTTGCCCTGAATTTTGTTTTGGTTGTTGTTAACACATGCTGACTTAAATTTAAGGTGTTGGTGTCTGAAGACACTAAATATTGAGGGCTATTTGTGAAATGATATAAAATTAAGAATTGAACAGGCTGAGGATTTAGTGTAAAAGTAGAAAATCTGGGGAATAATTCTACAAACCTGGAAAATGTACAGTCAATAGACTGACTACCAGAGGGGGAAAAATTTTGGTCTGTTTGTCCGTCTGGCTAACATTTCACATAATAGATATGATGATGCGCAACTGTTGTTCACATCCCGTCAAATCACATTATAACCCAGCATGATACTCTCTTCCACTGTTACAGTCTCTTGCAGTTTAAAAAGCACTTTCACATTATATTACTAGAGGACAGGAATGGTCAAATGCCAGAGGATCTCAACCAAGAGCTGTTTACAAATGAACCCAGTAACAAAAAATTTTATATATTTGACTGTTGAGGATTAGTAGAATTGTAAATCAGTGAAAATCTTAACGGTTTCGTTTTGCAGACTATTCCCCTCTGTTTGGGGCTCGCTGCAACTTATTCTGAAAGTCCTGGGACTACCCTCACTGCCATGTCTGACCAGCGCCTCTGCTTCTTGCATGTGTTGGTGTGGTTCTCAGCACCCTTCTCTCACCTACTGCCTCCTCAGGGGATGAGCACTGGTGAGAAATGCTGGAGAAAGGCAATGGTAGGGGTAGACTGAATACAGGAATTAAGACTGTTTAAGAAACAGACGTTTGATGGAATATAGCTAAAGCAAGGAATGGGTGGAGGTGCAGCTGGGCGGGAAAACAACTTCTGTAAAAGTCCGTCATGATAGTCTGGAAGACCCAGAAATCTGAAAGGAAGGAACCCATATGGGCAAAGTCCTACTATATGTCAATCTAAGGTGGTGAAGTGATTTTTCTTAGGATCCATGGATATGAACACCTTCGAAATTCTTTGCAAAATTCTGTCTGTATATATGTGTGTGTGTGTATATATATATATATATATATATATATATAAATATTTTTCTGGGACAAGATGCTTTACTTTGATTACATTCGTAAAGGGATCTCAATCTCTAAAAATGTTAAGACAGTTGAACTCAGTGTCTCTGCATTCCCAAATGAGCTATGAAGTATCTGCTAAGTGATCCCTTTAAACAATGACACTAAAGATCACTTTAACACCTATACTAACCTTTCAAAAAAAGATGGCATTTTTTTGTTGGTGTTATAATGTCTTCAGTACAGTAGTAAGGTATCAAGAGTTGAATAAAAGTGACAAAATTTTTTTTGATACTCCAGACATCAACATCCTAAAGTTTCATGGCTTAATAGGTTCTGTGTGGCACAGTTACAATTAAAATCTTTTTGTTTTTATTTATGTATATAATATATATTTATATGTGAGTAGCACCTCATAAATTTCAAAATGAATAGTCATTCCCAGCTTACTTTGAAATAATATTGAAATGTATGTAAAACTTGTATCATTTTCTCTATTTTGGAGGAGGAAACTGAGGCTTGGAAACTCGTTAATGGTCATGCAGATATGAGTGTGTGTCTGTGGCTATGTAAAGTGACACGACTTGAACATGACTTTATGTCTTGTGTTCCTTCATTTGTATCACATCTCAGTAACATATTACACTCACATAAATAAACTCATTTAATTAATTCTCTTTTCACGTATACAATATTTCATTGACTTGGACATTTAAAAAAACGGTAAAAAAAAGTCCAAATCCAAATCAGTAAGGAATGTTAAATTCTAAAAATCATGCTAAGATAGAAAAAAGCCATGAGCAAAGTCAGACTATCAATAGCATTAAAAAATTATTACCACAGTTCTAAAGTAAATGATGTCTAGGATAATAGGGAAAATTAAATATTTCTATAAATCAAATCTATAAATATTAATAATTATTAATCAATCATATTTATTTCCATAAATCATATTACTCTCATATTAATTTGAGAATTAATAAAAATATTTGATGCTGTCACTTGATATTTTTGTTTCCCCTTCTTAATCCTATCCATTTATTCCATTTTTGTTATAATGTCTTTTTACTTTAGCTTATACACAATCTGCTCTTTCCTTCACTGTCTGCATGTTCCCAAACTGACAAAAGCTTAACTAACTCAATAAATATCAAGTCCTTTGAACAGAGTAAAAATATATACCATCCGTATGCAGGCTCATCTTATTATTAAAATTCTAGATGGGGTTGAAATTGAGAGGAAAAAGAAAAACACTTTTATTATTTTTTTTTCTTCCAGAGTAAGAGTAAGATTTTAAATGTGAAGTAACTGTAACCAGATAAGACAGCTTATCGGAGTGTAAGAGCATTTGGTGAGATGGAGACCAGAGGACCAGAGGACCAGAGGACCAGAGGCGTGGCACGCGAGGGCCAGAGTCAGCAGCAGCTACCTTGCTCCCCTCCCACAGGGTTGCTACCATCTCTGCCCAGGATCATGTAGACCTTTTCTGTCCAACTAACCTCCCTCACCATGCTTTCTCCAATGCCCTCAAATGATGGACCTGCATCTTCACAAATATCTGGCCCAATCCAAATACTTCATGCCACCCTAAGGGTTCCTTAACTCCCCTTTTGCACCTACAAACTGTTGTAACTTTTCCCTGGGTTTCATTTCTTCCAGAAGTCTACCATGAGCTACTTTTAGCAAAGGAAAACACAAGACTATTTTACTTCCACCAAATTAAATTAAAACTTGCTGTCGTAGCTTGGAAGATAAGCTTTTGAGGGCAGGCAGGGAAACGCTGATGTTAGAGGGAAGCTCTGTCACGGAATCTGGAAGCAGTTTCCTATCTCTGCTCCAGGGTCTTGGATTTTAGAAATTATAAATCCAATCCGATACTAGATTCACTACTCCCAACCTAAAGAAGTGAACCCTGAATTGGATCACCTTAACCTTAACCTAAAGAAAAACTAGATAATTTAATTTCCCCATATTTGTGATTCAGCAGGATAAATGTCTTATATTTTAAAGTCCAAGGGGACTTCCTGAAAGAGCCAGTGTGGATTAGGGGGTAGGGATGTATATATGTACATACAGATCCATATTTATATTTGCATATGTAACATATTTTAAACATGTTTTTGAGGGAAATATTTTAAAGTCTTTCATCAGCAAAAGCCATTACCTCCTTTTTCAATTCTAACATGTGTTACACATATGCACTGTTGAGGGTTACAGCATGTGAATCACTTGTACAGGAAAGAATATTCTCAAAGAAAATCAAATAACGCATGTTTCTTTCAGATTAGGATCTGACACTCCTGTACGTTTATAAATCTGAGGATCATTACTACTGTATGAGCATGAATGAATCATCACTCTGGTTAATAGCACGGCTGAGGTTTGAGCTGTCTTTAAAAAAA